TCCAGACCCAGATGTGTTGGTTTTGGTTGGGAAAGGCAGACTTACTTGTTCCCGCTAGTTGCCATATGCCTGGGTGCTGCTCAGAACTGCTGAGCTGGCATTTTCTGCGTCCATGTTTAAACCCACAGATCTGCCTTTTGCTGATGCACGTTTCTGCACTCAAAGCTCCCAAGAAAGGTCAAAAGGGGGATATAAAGAGGAAAACAGATGAAATACCACAAAGGCAGAGGGGTGATAGCAAGCTTGGCTTGCATAGAAGGGACACCTCTAAAGGAACTATTCTGGGACACAGCCTTGGGTATCCAATGTGGAACTGCACTGAAATCATACCCAAGGTACTGAAGATTCCAAGGCTGTTGCTGGAGACAGTTTTCATTGTCCTTATGTGAGCACTGGATGGGGTTGGCTGTATCCTGCTGCTGAGGGGTGCTCCGTGCTGCAGCACCACACTCCTGGGATTTAATGCTACTGGAAACACCAGCACTTCAGAGCTGCATTTGTTGGTCCAAGTATTGTAAAATCATGTTTTACAAGTCTGACCTGGCTCCAGAGCTAGCTCTGAGTGTGTTGCTAATGGTTTCAAGGGGCTCTTTGGCAGTCCTGTGCTCTCAGTGCAGCTCCCCAGTTCTCTGTCCCGGTTTGCACCATTATCCTTTCACTACAGACACCTTCTTTCTGTGCATGAGTGAGGTTTTACAGCCAAGACACTGGTGGTTTTAAAGTCATTAAACTTCTGCCTCAGAGCTCATCTCAGTCTCCCCTCTGGCAGGTTCAAGCCATTCCCCTTGTCCTGTCCTACAGGCCCTTGTCCAAAGCCCCTCTCCAGGTTTCCTGGAGCCCCTTTAGGCACTGGAGCTGCTCTAAGGTCTCCCCTGAAGGAGCTTCTCTTCTCCAGCTGCCCCAGCCCAGCTCTCTTCAGTGCATTCTCTCTTCAATAAGCTGATTCTTGCCCCAGCACAAATGTGATGAATCAAAACTCCACTTTCTGCCTTCATTTGCTAGACTAAACAACCATTCCCTGAACATTCCTGGAGTCCTTCCCTGGGTTCCGTCAGTCCAAGTACATTTCTCTTGATCCATTCTCACATAATCCCTCTCTTTTCCAATGTTAACAGTATTTTGCCATGTTGTGCCACGGGAAGGGCTTTCCACCACTCCAGAGTATGAAGATAAGTCTGTCGAGTCTTATATTAAGCCACTAATTCTGCACGAGGACTAAACTCTCTGTTTTGGTGGTACTAAGATGTGCTCTGGGGATCTGAGATGCCCACAGCATGATGGTGGGCTCCAGATAGTGGTGTGGGTTGCAGGAAGGACCAGGGAGGCTGATGCTATTCAAGTCAGGCCCTCGAGACCTCACCCTGCCAATTTGAGGCCAACTTCCACGATGTAACAGCAGATCATAGGATCACACAATCAACCAGGTTGGAAAAGACCTTTAAGCTCACCAAGTCCAACCGTTGCCCAGCACTGCCAAGGCCACCACTAACCCATGGCACTGAGTTTGTGAACAATGGTGCTATTCTTGTCTCTTCAGCCTTGAGGAAGCTGGTATGTTCCTTGGTAGCTCCATAAGTGTACTGAGGAGTGTTGGTTTCTGCTTGCACTGCTTCCTGCACCAGCCGCTGAACCCTTCCGGCCTGCTCCGTCCTGCAGCACACAGGCTGCCTGCCCCGCTCCTGCTGACGTCAGCCGGAGCTGCAGGGTCAGATCCCTGGAGCTGCTCTGGAAATCCACCCCCAGCTGCAGCTTCTCTAAAGATGTGAAGATGAATTTTCTCAGGAGAATTCAGGGCAAAGCTGCTGTGGTTTGTGTGGAGCGTTTCCTCCTCTGGGCCTTGCTGCACCGTCCCCAGGGACTCAGGCCTGCACTTCGGGTAAACATTTATCCCTTGTTATTTGAAGCAAGGGATGAAAGCCCCACCACACTCTCTGCTCAGCATCTCCAACGGGCCTGAAGGTGCTGGAGGCTTTTAGTGCCATAAATAGACGTTAGCAGTGGAAGCTGTGACACCCACATGGGGGCTGCTTGCTGCAAGGGCAGTGCCTGAGCAGCATCTGCAGCGGGGAGGGAAATGTGGTGTTAGTGTGAGTAGGACATGGGCTCCACAAAGCCCAGGAGCAGGGCAGGTGGAGATGTTTCATCACTGATGTTTACTGCTGCTGCAGATACCTGCTGTACTTTGGGACATGGAAGAGCCATGGCATGTCCCTGCCATGAGGTGAAGTGACCCGGCACAGGGTTTCCTACGGGATGGGAATTCCATAACATGAGCTTTTTAATGGGATGGTGTTTTTACATTCCTGTGGGATTGGTGGGTTGTATTTTGCAAACCCATCTGTTTCAACACTGATTTTCCAAACTTTGCACCGTGTCAAGGTGGAATCAGCACTATTTTAAAGCAGAACATGAACATTTTCTGGCAGGAAAGGTCGAACGAGGGCTCCAGTTTGGGTTTATGAGATGCTGAAGCTGACACATTTCGGGTACATGTGTGGTGTCTGCCAAATCTGGGCTTTTCACAGAAAAAACTCTCCAGACTCACTGGGAAGTTGCTGCCTCCTGGTAGGAAGCTATTGACCAGCCTTGATAACCCCTGAGGGTGCACCACTCCACACGCATCTCCTCGAGGCTGGTCATCTCTCACGTGGGGCTCAGTTACATTAATCACCTTCCTCTTTTGCCACTAACTCTGTCCTCCATGACAATGCTCATCCAGAGCCTGGAATTTGGGTTCCTGTCTCATACCTCACTCATGTTTTCTCCCTGGTGTAATGTCCACTGGGTACATGGACACGACGCAGTGAAGGTTTCCAGTTTTCCTGGATTTACCAGGCCAGAGCTGCTCTGTACCTCCTGCAGGTTTGCATAACCACCCACTGACCTTGCCACAGGAAGCCCGTCATCTGCAGAGATCTTGGGTTACCACTGTTCACACACCACGGGGTGCAAAACACCCCTCCTGCCCCTGCTGCAACAGGGTCATGGAGTTGTGTTGGCCTGACCTCAGCCGGGCACAGTCAGGTACCAACATCTGCAACTGAGTGTAAGCATCAACTCCTACAAACCAGACGGGAGGCACCAGCCGCAGCCTCTTGGCTGGATCTGGGGCCATTCACTCAGGACTGCCTGTTCCTTAAATATCCTGTCATCAAGTAGTGAGTGGAAGCAGAGATTTAAAGTGGTTTGGGCACCTGGATTCATGGTACAAGGCATGAAAGGAATAAATAAACTTCTAATTTTGCATTATACTAATAAAAGTAAATGTTTCATGCTTTGTTTCATGCTTGATCTCACTGTTCTTCCAGCTTCCTGAATGATGCCCTTTCCCTGGTTCCTGCTAATCCCAGCTCTGCCCACAGCTGCTTCTTACTGCCAGAGGGGAGACTGAGATGAGCTCTGGGGCAGAAGCTCTTCCCTGGGAGGGTGCTGAGGCGCTGGCACAGGGTGCCCAGAGCAGCTGTGGCTGCCCCATCCCTGGCAGTGTTCAAGGCCAGGTTGGACACAGGGGCTTGGAGCAACCTGCTCTAGTGGAAGGTGTCCCTGCCCGGGGCAGGGGTTGGAGCTGGAGGAGCTTTAAGGTCCTTCCAACCCAATCAAGTCTGGGATTAACCTGCCACACGTGGTGGCATTCAGGGAGGGACTCCAGCTGGTGCAGGGATGCTTCCCTTGAGGATGGCCACACTAAGTCCCTCTGTGGGCCACGTGCAGCGGCTTTGCTGAACACAGGTTTCCTCTGGGTTGTATTTTGGGCAATCCTCTCCCTACAGCCTCAGCTGCAGACATCAGGCTCAATAAACCAAGAAACCAAATAGAAAATCCCACCAAGGATTCAAGCACCCCTCAAATGGGGGCAATCCTCAGGGATCTGCTTCCAGAGCACTGCCGTGAGATAGCACTTTAGGGAGAATTACATGAAAATCAAGGAGAGCTTTGCAGCTTTTTAGGCATACTGTGGTCTAAAACTAATCTGTCTGTAGAGCACTAGGAACAGGAGCCAAGGGAGGAGGGAAGTGACTGTTACCAGCAGTGGTTATTTCTGCCTGCCATCTGTGTCACTGTGCAGCCTCCCATGTTGATTTGGGAACTTCAAAGCAACAGCAGGAA